GTGTATCCCTGCTGGGACCTTCCTCCTGGGGAGGTGCCCTTGGCTGTGGGCAGTGCCGGGAGCCCATGGCCCTGACTGAATTCTGGGTGGGGCTACAGCCCCAATTCTCTGCCCAAGGCAGGCATCCTCAGACAGCCTTTGCCTGGACTCTGTCAGTGGTTCACTTCCCCCATCCTCCAGTCCTGCTACCTCCCTTTTATCTTTTTCAGGCAGGGTTTGGGGGGTGGTGACAGAATAAGCCTTTTTGAAAAGTCTGCGGTCCAGCTGGATGGGCACCTGTAAGGAGACTCAATGACACCAAATTCCTGTCTATGGAACCTCATTTTCCATGCAATGTAGTAATGCAATTGGAAATGAGTTCTTACAGAAAAATTGTCATTTCAAAACATGATGAACCCAAAAGCAAAACTTTAAAGTCACATTACTGAAGAGTGGAGGTTTTATGATTATAATTTATGATTTAATGGTCCACAAAGTGAATCGCAAGCATGCAGAGTTACTTCTGCACAGAGCACAGTAGGTTTTAGGGGTGGGGCCCCCACAACCCCCTGGGCAGCAGCAGCCCCTGCATTCCTGTTTCCTGCAGGAGCCCTGGCCCCCTACCCCCTCCCCTGGCTCTGGACGGAGCAGTGAGCCCCTCTCCGTGGACACCCAGGTCCTCTTGGGTCCAGGCCGAGGTCACCATGCAGAAGAGGAAGGTTCTCCTGGCCACCGTGTGGAAAAGGAAGGTTCTCCATGTCCTCCACCTACCAGGGGCTGTCCCTGGCCACCAGTATCTTCAGGCCTCTCCCTACGTCCCTCTCCCCATCCTTGGCCCCTGTTGCCTACACTCAGGACCGCCCAGCCCTTTCCCCACTGTCTGCAGAGTATGTCCAGCATGCACACTGGATGTGCACCTGTCCTTCCCTCGTGGTGCAAATGGAGAGAGGGCCGTGGACTGTGTGGCTGACAGCTCTGCAGGATGTCCTGACCAGGAGATGGGGGACCAAGGCTGCTCCTAGGAGGCCAGGGAGCTGACCCATGATTTTGGCGATAACTACCCTTGGTCATTTGTACATCCCAGTCTATGGCCCTGGGACCTCAGGGCTCAGGCAACAGGCCTGGCTGCTCAGCCACCTTGGTAGCTAGCCAAGGGCTGTGTTCCTGGAGGCTTTTCCCTGTGACCCAGACATGCCTGGGGTGATGGGGTGTTTGGACCAAAGGCAGCAGATAAGCCCAAACATGATGAGGCCCATCCGACTGAATCACCTGCCCGTGGAGGTGGAAATAAGGCCAAGAGCTGTGGTGGGGGTGACGCAGAGCTGCTCCTGTACAGAGATCCACAGGCTTGGGGTCTCCATCTGTCAGTGAGGAGTGGGGAGCAGTGCTCAGAGGGTCCCGGGCTCCCTGAAAATGATGGAGCCATCTGAAAAAGACCTTCCGTTAAGGATGGTTAGGATTTTTCAGAGATAAAGAAAAGAATAGCACCCATAGAAGGAACAGGAAATTATTAAACAGAACAGAGTCACAGCTCCAAGAGGTGGAACGGCTGGAGGGTCACAAATGAAGGACAGAATGTGGAATGTACACACAACGGAATATTACTCAGCAGTGAAAAGGAAGGGAATTCAGACACAAGCTACATCATGGAAGAACCTCGAGGACGTTGTACTAAGGGAAAGAAGCCAGAAACTAATGGACAAATTCTGTATGACTGCACTCGTGTGAGGTCCCTAGAGTGACATCCATAGAGACAGAAAGAAGATGCAGGGATGGAGACAGGATTTGATGGGTCAGAGTTTCAGTTCGGGAAGATAAAACACTTTTGGAGATAGTGATGGTTGCACGATGTGAATGTCATTATTGCCACCAGGTCATTGCCCTTTCAGTCTCTCGGACCCCCCACCTCCAACGTCCCCCTGCAGCGTGCACACAGGTCCACGGCTTGATTGACAACCAGAAGTCGGAGGAGCTCAGGGAGGCTGAGAAGCGCAGGCAGAGCGGCGATGGCAGGAAACAGAGACGCCTTGTCCCTTCCAGGGCGAGCACCGCTCAGACTCGCGCTTGGGCGGCTGACCTCGACCTGCGGCCCTCGTGTCCAGTGCCTGCCTTCCCCCGCCGGGCCGTCGCCTCCCCAGACCCCAGCCCTCTCTCCTCTTGCCCTGCCCCACCCCCCCCGCAGCCCTCCTTGCGCTGGACCCCCCCCCCTCCAGGGCCCCCTGCCCCCCCCCCCCCTCCCATGCCACCACGCCTCCCCCACGCCGCGTCCCCTCCCTCCGGCACCGCCCCCACACGCTGAGCCGCTGCCCTCCAGGACGGCCCTTCCCACCTTCCCCGCCCCCCCGCCCCCCAAGCCGCGCCCCCTCCCTCCGGCACCGCCCCCCCACGCCGCGCCCCCTCCCTCCAGCACCGCCCTCCCCACCTCCCCAGTCCCCCGGCGCCGCGCCCCCTCCCTGCAGCGGCCCGCTGGGCCCCGGGTTATTAATAACCGCGCCTCGCATTCTCAGCTGGCGGCCAGGCAGGTGGCCGCGGCGACCGGGTTCAGAGGCGGAGCGCAGCTCTCCTGGCGGGACCTGCAGCGGACGTCCCTCCGCCGACCCCAGGAGACCCCGCGCCCCACTCAGCGCTCGGGGACGTGCTCGGGACCGAGGCTCAGGGTGGACCCCACGCCGGGTGAGTGAGGTGAGCAAGGGGCGCCAGCTGGAGTGCCCGGCCGGCGCTGGAAAAGTGGGCGGCGGGTGTCAGAAAGGACAGCAGTGTCGAGGCAGAGGGGTGGCGGCGTTGGGGCATCGGGGTGCCGGGGTGGTGGGGTGTCGGGGCGCCCTCCTGCCGGCCCCTGCGAGCGCCGGGCCCACCTGGAAGCCGCAGGTGCGCAGGGCGGGATCCGTGGGGCTTCGCATCCCTCCTGGTGGTCCCTCCTCAAGGCTTGCAGCCCTCGGGAGTGTGGGAGAGGGACCCCTGGCCGGGAGGAGGGCCGCTGGCCAGGCACCAGAGCAGAGACTGGGCCGGGTCGTGGGGTTCTGGTCACACAGGGTGGGGCGGTCCAGACTTTATCATTATTATCATAGATACTGGCCGTGCGGAGGGAGAAAGCCTGAAGCCATTATTATCCCTGGACCCTGGGAGCTGGGGTGACAGGGGCCCCTCCTCTGTGGTTAAGTATCCCACGTCCCTGGTTTCTCCCTCCCTCCCTCCCTCCCTCCCTCCCTTCCTTCTTCCTTCCTTCCTTCCTTCTTTTCCTTGTGAGGATGCTCCTCATCCAGGAAGCACAGACCTTAAGGACACATGTCTGTTCCCGTGTAACCACCCCACCCAGCTCAGAACATAGCATGCTCCAGTCCCCCCCACTCCCAAGGGCTCCCCAGTGCCCTCCACCGTTGACAGCCCCCCCAACCCCGTAACCACTACTCTGACCTCCACTGTCACAGCACATCTTGTCTGTGCGTGAACTTCATGTACGGGAACCCACAGCTGCGTTCTTCTGGCTGATTTCTTTCCTTCAACATAGTCATCCAGGTTATTGACTCAAGTGGGACTGCCATCTACTTCATTGCTACAGGGCATTTTAGGGAGATGTCAGAGTTTGTTCATCCACACTAGTTATTTATGGGCGTCTGGGTTGTTTTCAGCTCCTGGATATTAGGAATAGGCTGCTTGTCAATGTTCTCACTCTTGTCTTTTTTGTGGACAATCGCACTTGTTTCTCTTGGGCGCAGACTGAGAGGGACTGCTGGGGAAGAGGTCCTGTCTCACTGATAGTCCTGGGTTGCTTCCTGAAGGGGTTACACCATGTAACACTCCCCCAGCTCCTCCGTGTGCGTCCTGACACACTCAGTCTGCCCCCCAGCTCCTCCGTGTGCACTGACACCCCGCGATCTGCCCCCAGCTCCTCTGTGTGCACTGACACCCCGCGATCTGCCCCCCAGCTCCTCCGTGTACACCCTGACACCCCGCGTCAGCCCCCAGCTCCTCCGTGTGCACTGACACCCCGCGTCAGCCCCCAGCTCCTCCGTGTGCACTGACACCCCGCGATCTGCCCCCAGCTCCTCTGTGTGCACTGACACCCCGCAATCTGCCCCCCTGCTCCTCCGTGTACACCCTGACACCCCGCGATTTGCCCCCAGCTCCTCTGTGTGCACTGACACCCCGCGATCTGCCCCCCAGCTCCTCCGTGTACACCCTGACACCCGCGATCTGCCTTTCTGGCTCTGACCAATGCAGTGGGTGTGTGGTGGTTTTGACCTTTGTTTCCCTGATGACTACTGATGCTGGGCATCTCTTCCTGTGCTTCTTGAACATTTGGATATCCTCTTTTGAGAAGTTTCTGTTCAGATCTTCTCTTTTTCTTCCCCTCTAAACGAGTTGTTCGAGTGTATGGATTTATAGTTAGTTCATATATTTTGGTTACTAGTTCTTTGTCTTCTAATAATCTTTTCCCAGTCCATAATTTATATTTTTACTCTCTCGGTGAGGTCGCTAATTTTAATTAAGTCCGTTTGTTTCCTGTTCTTTTGTGAGAAATCTTTGCCTGCCCATGGTCATGCAGGTATTCCATGTTTCTTCCAGAAGCTTGATTGATTAATTTAACCTATTATATGCAGGTCCACAATCCATCTTGAATTATTTTTGTGTATGGCACGAGGTAGGAATCAAGACTCATTTTCCCCATGTGGATACAGAGAGATTACAAATGCTTTCTCCTCTTCACCACACACATTTTTTTCTATTTGAACTTTTAAAATCAGTGGATATTACTTTTGCAATCTAAACAAAACATATTTTTTATAAAACATGCAGAAGAAATAAATTGGGAGAAAGCACAGCCCTCTGCGGGTCCCCCAGCGGGGCGGGGGCGGGAGGGACCGTGCCCTCACACAGCCTCCTGGGAGTGGGAGGGGGCACCCGAGCTGATCTTTAATGAGCACCTTCTCCTGCAGACCGAGCTTGCTGCCCACAGATGCCCCCTCCCCGTCCAGCAGAGCAGCACGCCCCAGCACCAAGCCCCGCGTGAGGCAACAGAGATGGCTCTGGGCCCCGAGCCAGTGAGCAGGTTCCCCGAGCTGGCTGCGACGGGCAGCCCTGTGCCCGAACCGTCTGGTGCCCCCAATGCATCCGTCAATGGCTCCTGGGCCGGTGCAGCGGAGCCCAGCTCCCTGGAGGACCTGGTGGCCACTAGTGCCATTGGGGCAGCACTCTCGGCCATGGGCGTGGTGGGTGTGGCAGGCAACGTGTACACGCTGGTGGTCATGGGCCGCTTCCTGCACGCCTCGGCCTCCATGTCCGTCTACGTCATCAGCCTGGCGCTGGCTGACCTGCTCTACCTGCTCAGCATCCCCTTCATCGTGGCCACCTATGTCACCAAGCAGTGGCACTTTGGCGAAGTGGGCTGCCGGGTCCTCTTCAGCCTGGACTTCCTGACCATGCACGCCAGCATCTTCACCCTGACCGTCATGAGCAGCGAGCGCTATGCTGCCGTGCTGAGGCCCCTGGACACAGTGCGACGCTCCAAGGGCTACCGCAAGATCCTAGCTCTGGGCACGTGGCTGCTGGCCCTGCTGCTGGCCCTGCCCATGATGCTGGCCATCCGGCTGGTCCGCAGGGGCCGCAAGAGCCTCTGCCTGCCAGTCTGGGGCCAGCGTGCCCACCGCACCTACCTGACGCTGCTCTTCGGGACCAGCATCGTGGGGCCCGGCGTGGTCATCGGGCTGCTGTATGTGCGCCTGGCCCGGGCCTACTGGCTGTCCCAGCGGGCCTCCTTCCTACAGACACGGCGGCTGCCCAACCCCAGGGTGCTCTACCTCATCCTGGGCATCGTGCTGCTCTTCTGGGCCTGTTTCCTGCCCTTCTGGCTGTGGCAGCTGCTCACCCAGTACCGTGGGGCCCAGCCGCTCACGCCCCGCGCCACGCGCATCGTCAACTACCTGACCACCTGCCTCACCTACAGCAACAGCTGCGTCAACCCCTTCCTCTACACGCTGCTCACCAGGAACTACCGCGAGCACCGGCGGCGGCCGCCCCGCCCCCGGGGAGCCAGCCGGCCGGTGCGAGCCGGCCCCTTCCTGCCACGCCGGGTCCGCTTCCAGCGCCGCTCCGGCCGCTCGCTGTCCTCCAGCGGCCCGCAGGCCACCGAGACCGCCACAGCGTCCCAGGCGGCCGCGAGAGTGGTCTGCTCCTGAGAGTCCCGCGGCCCCACACGAACGCTGGGGTCGAGGGTGGGAGGGGGCCTGAGTCCAGCAGGCAGCCTGCCCCCAGAGCCCCCGTGACTTAGTCTTCTTCCAGAAAGTTCTCTGCTCTCCCTTCTGCTTGGCTCAGTTCAGCCTCATCAGCCATTTCCCTTGTGATGCCTGAAGGCCCCACTCCCAGACCACCTAGGAGGCTCTGTGGGAGGCTCAGGCCCAGAACCAGCTTCTGGAGATCCCAGCAAGCAGAGTCTCCACCACCCACAGCAGGAGACGTGAGTGCCAGCCAGTGCCTGCTGTGAGCAGTGGAGGCACACTCCTCTCCTGACTGGGGTGTGGTCCCTGTGGCACCAGCCCCGCCCCTGTCCCTGTCTGTGTTCCCGACCATTCTGCACAGTGTCAGCATTGGAACAATAAACCCTGAGCTCGGCACCCTTGTCCCGCCTCAGTGTACGGATGGCATGTTGAGGGGTGGGGGACGCCCTTCAGCACGAGGAGCCTGTCGGTCTGGCTGGGGAGGATGCACGTCTTCCTTGGAGGCTTTGCTGGTGGCTGGTCCAGCTGTCTGGACATGGTGGGCAGGTGCCACCTGGCCTGAGCCAGGCCCCAGGGTGTGGGGCCTGAGACCCTGTGGCAAGGTAGGAAAAGACGGGCCCCAGCTTGCTCAGGGACGAGGGGGCAACTGGGTAATAGCATTGCAGGCCAGGAACTGGGGGGTGGGGGGTTCAGATCACACCCCTTCTCAGCCTGGGGATTTATCTCATGCCTCCTGGGGACACTGAGGCCATCAGGCTCTGCCTGCAGAGAGCCCACGGGGAAGGGTTCTAGACCTCTCCCCACCCCCGGCAGCCTGTACACCCTGTGGCTCGGCACCCACCCTGCAGGCAGGTCTCAGTGCCATCCAGGCCCTGGTCCCCTTCAAGGCCCCGCCGGGATTCTGACATGTGGGCAGGCAGAGAACAGCTACTCCTGCCGCAACCCCTAAAGGTAGGGTCTGGGGCCACTGGCCCCACTTAAGACCCCAAATGCTTTCGGAAGGAAATGGCCTGAAGTTTACACCTTGACTGAGACCCCAGGTCTTTGCTTGCCAAGTCCTGATTTTAGGATGTGCCAGGAAGCCCTAGCCTCAGAGACCAGACACCCCCCAAAGTGTCCCTGCAGCCCCCATTCATCTGGACATGAGAATGTTTTGCACCATTTCTTGGAGTGATACTGAGGAAGTTAACTTTTTAAAATTAAAAAAAAATTTTTTTTTTTTAAGTAGGCTCCATGCCCAGTGTGGAACCCAAAGCAGGGCTTGAACCCATGACCTTGAAAACAAGACTTGAGCTGAGATCATGAGCCAGACGCCCAGGCACCCCAGGAAGTTACATTTTTTAACCGGAAACTTAAGACCTGAATTGATGCACCCTCTGTGTCAGAGGGGACCTGAGTGTCCTGGTTAGTGCTCCCAGGGACACCCAGTTGTGCTGAGCAGCAAGCAGAGGGAATGGTGGAGGCAAAGGTCAGGCAGGGGCTCCGTGTCCCTATGATGGCTTGGGGGACAGAGATGAGCCTGGGAGTTGGGCGGCGTCCTGACCCCAGAGGCCTTGCATGGGGGACGGGGTTTATCTGAGATGGTAGTGGAGGCATGGGAGGACTTAGAGGCCACCAACTGGAAGGTTAGGCCACAAGCCCCTGCTCCTGGGGTCAGGAGAGGCCAGGCAGGGGGAGTAGCACAGGGCAGTGCAGGAGCTAAGCTATTCTGGGAAGTCGGCGGAGGGCTTCTGGCTGGGGGGTGGGGGCTGGTCCCGACTCGCTGCAGGGGCCAGGGCACATCCTTGAGGGGGAAGGAGGGAGCCTGCAGGTCCTGGGAGGCTACAGACAGACACACACTCATCCTCACAGAAGCAGGGCAGGAGTTCCTGGGAGCCGCCTCCGCGGAGGAGGGAGGAAGAGCCCCAGGAAAGCCGTTTCGCTGGAGGGCCGATCAGAGCAGGGGAGACACATGGGCCGGGTCCCTGCAGGCTGAGCTGGGGCCCAGGGGCCCTTTGGAAATACAAGACGGAGGTCCTGGCCCTGTGCAGACAAGCTTCGCCTTTGCCCAGCTGGGCTTGGGACCCCTATCGGTGTGTCTGTCTGTCTCCCCCATCACTCGGGGCCAAGCCTGTGCTGCCCACCTCACGGCATAGGTCCTTGAGCACGGGCCGCGTGGGTTGGCGGCCCCAGGACAGTCTGTTCCATCCAGGCCTCCAATGCCCGGGACGCTGGGTCCCAAGATGGCCCAGCTCCACTGGGGCACTGCAGGCTCAGCAGGGCAGGCTCAGCTGAGGTGGCAGGGATCCCGGAGGGGGGATCTGCCTGGCAAAGGGCCAAGGCTTCGGGGTCAGAAAGGGAGAGCCCGAGGCTGCTGGCTTCACAGGCCTCACGCCCACGGGCTTAGGTCTGGTCAGAAACGAAATCGAGGTCCCGCCTGCAGCAGTGTCCTGGCTGCATCCCCGAGAGACCCCCCACGGTGTCTGCCCTCATGCTCTCCCTCGTGACAAGTCTCTTCAGTCCCCGGTCCCAGCACGGCCTCCCCTGGCTGACCCCCCAATCCCTCTCCCTGCCCCCACCTCCTGCCTGGCAGACCCCCCACCCAGAGTGCTTCAGAGTTTGGAATGTTAGGCAGGTGCTCACACACGGACACACTCCATCCCACACTGGGCACATTCTGTGGCGGTGCACTCACCACCCCCGCCACGTGGAGACCCCGCAGGCTCACTGCGGCTTCACTGGCCTCTCTGGGCCCACTGCCCACAGCCCTGGCACCCAGGACCCACTCGGTCAAGGCCAGGTGATTTATGGAGGCCTCATCTGGCTCAAGACCCACGGTCTGTCAGGCACAGTGCCCGGCTTTCTGGCCTCGTCGGCCGCTCTGCCTGCTCAGAGGCCGGCTGGCTCCTGCAAGGGGACCCCCTGCCCGCAGGTCCCCCCCGCCCCCCGCCAGGGCCTCAGATCCCAGTCTGGGCCCCAGGGCTCTGAGGCTGCGGAGGGTTCCAGGTGGTCCGAGCTGGGGCAGGAGCTGAAGCTCGGGAGGGCCGGACGGCAGAGGGTCCCGGGCTGCGGGGTTGCCCGGGGCCAGGGCACGAGGCGGCTGGTTGTTCGGTTACAGCCCTCCTGAGGCACGGTTACCCACCATAACACTCAGCCCCTGCAATTACTAATTTTCCATCAGTTTACAGAGCTGTGCAAGCATCATCCAGTCCAGTGCCCGCACATCGGTCAGGAAAGCCAAAGCAACCGACATAATGTATAAAGGGTTTCTTTAAGGAACTGACTCATGCAATTAGGGGGCTGGCAAGTGTGAAATCCAGGGCAGGGGCCGGCAGGCTGGAAACTCAGGCAGGAGTTGAAGCTGCAGCCTTGGGGTGGAATTCCTTCTTTTCTGGGAAAGTTCCCTTTTTTTGCTCTTAAGGCTTTCAGTTGGATGGATGAGGCCCACCCACCCACGTGAGGGAGAACAGTCTTCTCTGCTGGAAGTTAGCTGACTGTAGATGTCCAAGCACGCTGTATTGGGGGTCAGCACCCCGCCCCTTTTCAGAGCTGAGTACGCCCTGTGGGGTCCGCTGGTGGTGTTTACCTGCCCCTCGGTTACGGAGCTGCTCTGGACACGCGTGTGCACGTCTTCGTGTGAACATGTTGGCATCTCTTGGGGAGGCTCCTGTGGAATTTCCAGACTCTTTTCCACAGTGGCTTGAGGCGTCCTGTGCCCCCTGCAGCAGAGCAGGAGTCTCCCGCACCCCCCCCCCCCCCCCCCCCCCCCCCCCCCCCCCCCCCCC